CTGACTGGGGTTTATGAAGGAAATTTAGCGCAGGTTCTGCGTACGCACGGTTTTACAAGTCAGAATATTTTATATTTTTGTCTTTCGGGTGCATTTTAGTAAGGATCCTGCACACAGTTTTATAAATGAGACCCCAGAGCTTATCATAGAGGCCCTTTCAAAGGTCAAACCCAAAGTTTCCTCATCTTAGGCTGGGGATATCACACATCGCCCTGAGCCTCGCAAAGTAGATCTGCTCTAATTTGAATCTCTCAAGGACAGTCGTCCGACCAGATCCGAGAACCTAATGTGGGACTGAAACGACACTTCACGCTCTCACAAGAACTGCTGGAAGACTAACTGGTGGAAAGGCTTGCATGTGGGACACGTGTGTGCTAGGAGACTTTATTCATAGTGATAATGGAGACTAAAAAGGGCACTGGGTCGTTTCACTCGAGGCGATCACATCTACCTCTGCTCTGCCGAATCCGAGCACAGACTGGAGACAGGCATCACCGCACAGAGCTCAAGCAAGAAGACGTACAGATGATCTGCTGTTGCCCTGAACCGATAAACATGGCTGGATTAACATATCTGGAGGACAGTGTGAGAAAAGGCAAATGCATTTCTGCAGGTTGACACAATCCTCCCATTGGGCCGTCTGATCAGGAGCAGTCGCTGCCATGGATAATGGCCTCAAAACGAATAACAAATAATTCTGCAGAATAATAAAGAAAAAATATTTGGCTGACATATTGGCCGTGTTTCCATTACCCTTCAAACTGCGCAAATTGAAATTGCGAATTGAAAATACGCCCGATGGAAATACGTCGAGTTTTTACGAAGCTTTAAGAAGCTTTATTCACTGATTTGCTGTGTACTTTGTCCCTTCTGTTAAAGTTGGGTTTATTATGGTCTCTTATTAACTGTGGGTATTTAATTGGGCATGAGATTCATTTTAAGAATGTTTTAGAATAATGATTTTTTCTGTGAAATACATTTTTGTATCGTTTTGGAAAGTCTCGTTAATCCGATCCGAACCAGCAGGGTCCTTGATATTATTGTTACTCCTTTTGGTTTAATTCTTTGGGGTATTTTTATTTTATTTTCCTGGGTGGAGAAATAACCCAGGTGGCGTAGTCGGGTTTCTTCAGGACTTTTAGCCAAGGTTACAGCATGCATGGTACAAGGGTAAATGATCAAATGTTTTTAGCAGTTTTCAGCAACTGAAAGTTTTCTTTCAACTTCCATTTTCTCTAATCAGCTATAGCTATGATTAGATTGTTTTGTCGCTCTCACATGCGGGTTTGTAAAGCCGTCTATAAGGACGCCTGTAGACGAGGATGTAAGAACACACACACATACACCGAGGGCAGGGCGTCACCTTTAACGTAACGTGTTTATTAGGGTTGTAATGGTTCAAATTACTCAGGGTTCAGTTTTATTACAGCTTTATTCATGGTTTCGGTACGGTTCGGTATGCGTAGTAAAAATTACTACTTTTAAATACAAAAAGAAAATAAGAACAAATAATCAAACTACAAGCAACAGCACAAATAAATACAATGGAGCAAAGATTTAAATAAAATAAACAGTGCTTTTCATGTTTTTCAGATATTTAATAGAAGTTTTCAGGTACAGAAAAAAAGTAATCAAATTTAAAATAATATTGCATATAATCTTCACAGCATAAATTAAATAAAAATCAATCATTATTGAAGTTACAAAAGCTATTCAGTCAAGAGCAGTGAGTGATTTCTTTATCATCTGTTGTTTGATTAACATTAAACACAGACAGCAGGAATATTAGGCTGCTGTCACTTTAAGACACAATGAATGATCCATCACACATGCGTTGTCTTTCTCGACTGCGTTCACTTATAACAGACTATGTTTGCTAGGATACAGACGGGCATGTTGACATTTTTGTGTGAATTTGTCCATTCAGTTTGCACAATATTTGCGCGCTGTATACGCGCTTTCAGTGTGTGCACTTCAGATGTACTTCACACACACTCTTCTCTCAGCGTGCGCGACCTATCTTTCGCGTCTTGCTCTTGAAAGTTTGAATTAGCAATATTAAATGAGTTTAGTGTAAACACAGATAGCAACGTGTACTGTTCAGGTTTCTCCTATTAAACACAGTTTACAAAGAGTTTCCCACGCTTTTTGATCATCACTGTTGTGATGTATTGGGAAGCCAGAGAACCTATCCATCGACAGACACATACATCAGCCGAACGCTCTCTGTCTGTTTTACAAGTTGCTACTGCCGTCAGATTTGAGATGAAGTGTGGTGCAAGTGCGTGCCGAACCGTGGCTGGAGAACGGCTCATGTTCGACCCGTTACACCCCTTGTGTTTATTCTGGACTGTGTAACGCGTTTATGGTCTTATGTTCTGTTATCTTCGGTTTCGGTTTGTTCTGAGTGAGTTGCCCTGGATGTTGACTAGTTTGCACACTCCTGGCTCTGTTCTCCTTCACTACATTCCCTGTGTAATTTTCTCTTCAGGGTTTGGTATCGCCAATGTTAATTGTTTCTTGTGTGTGAGCAGAGTTACTGATAAACAACATCCTTTTTTGTCTTGATTTCAATCTCTTCCAGTGACATGGCCTTCGGCGTTGCTTGCAGTGCCGTGAAGTTGACATATTCCTCGGCTACTGTGATACTCTTGTGCTGTGCTCTTTCTCACGCAAGACACACTGTCTGGAAATAAAGTCAGATTGTCAGTTCCTTCTTGGTATTCAATTCTGAAGTCTTAGATCCCACCTTTCAGTTCTGGCTGGTGGCTTTGATATTGGGTTATTCCATGTCATGCCAATGCTAGGTTCAGTGCTCTTTGAAGGGTCATACGCACATTACAAGCATTCATAGGAAGGGCCCTGCCATAAAACTGAGCCACATTACCCTTTGAACATTAGAGAATTTCATTGTTTTTAACAGATGGCATATATCTGCTTAAACAATCTTGTTGTCACATCATGTAGAGCACATTTAAAAACAGCCACACGACTGACCAAAGTGCTGTACAACAAGATCACTGACAGAAAACCACAATAAAGCAATTAAAATTAGATGTTAATAAGCCAGGAAGAACATGTTCATTTATAGTCAGGGAATGTGCCAATCTAATCTTTACTCCATAGCCGTTGCTCAACCACAGAAACACTCGATCTCCTCTACCATTGAGTCTGTATTATGACTGTATTATGATCAGTATTTATTAGCGATGCATCACTGTATGTGTTCTGAAATCGCCTCAAAATATCAAACATGTTTTGATGTCCTCCGAATCAAAGTCTGAAGCTATTTGTGACTCCTATCAACTCCGAACGCACAAAATCTGCAAAACTCGGAGCAAAAGTTGCGTAGTGTATTCCAACCTTTAGACTTCTGGAAGGGGTACGGACGCAGCAACTCAGAGAGATAGAGATTTATACACAAACTAGAGAATTATGAAATCGTTTCTGAATTGAATATGCAGCCAATGAAGAGCCCTCAGTGTTGGAGCGATGTGGATCATTTACGGCTCGTGTGAAGAAATCTGGCGTCTGCATTTTGGCCCAGTCGGAGACGAGCAATTTGAGATTGGGAAATACCGCAGTATAGTGAGTTGCGGTAATCTAAACTTACTCACAAGTGCTTGAAACATTATGGCACTAATACGAAATACGAAAAGTTACAAAGTATTCAAACTGCAGGAGAGACTATTGTGGAGTCAGTGTACCACATAATATCTGCAAGCATGCTAAACGTGTCTGTGTGTGTGACTGGAGGATTATTCAGAGCTGTGAGAGAGCTGGTAGGAAACTATACTACAGTGTAAAGACTTTCGCTTGGCTGATTTACTGTGAGAATAAGCTCAGCCGATCAAAAGGCCCACACTGACGAAGGCTTCGTTCACACTGTCAGTTTGTGGGATTGACGAGGGCATTTTGAAAATGTACGAGTGTGTGTACGGTTGTAGAATACGGTTGTCACTGAACTGTGTGTGAACGTAACCGTCTTAACCGTCTTGGTGTTGTGTGAACGTGGCCATAAAGTGCCTTCCACCAATGTTTCTATTGTTTGAAAAAAGCCAGATATAGGGCAATTTTCTTCTTTTATAAGATGCATATAGTGCTGTTTTCTCTGAGGACACAAAGAAACAAACAAACCAAAAAGACAACAATTAACTGTGCACAATATTGCAAGGCGTGAGATTGTATGAATCCCTCAGTTACACCGTTCAGCGAGGCAGCGTCTCGTTTGCAGTATAACAGTGTTTCTGTAGCAAGTGATCGAGGGAGGGACGAGCCAGGCAGAAACTCATGACTATCTCAATACCTCAATCTCATGTCATATTCACAAACAGTACGCAAATCAGCATGAATCAGTCAAGCGCATTAGTGGGGGTAGAGGGACTAATCACAAAGCAAACGACTCACCCACATCCAAATTAAATACAGTACATGTGAAATGACTGTTAAATTAAAGCTGCATGATCATGACACCTGCTGTGTGTTTATTGACTAATGGCCATAATAGGAAGGGAGTCAAGGGACTAATACCCTGTTCAATAATACAGAACAACAGTTTTAATAACAAATAAAAGATAAATGCTTTTTTTTTACTGTATTAATGTACTTAATGGCGATATAGTAATATGTCATATGCAAATAAAAATGTATAGAACTGCATAAGCAATGATACTTAAGCAATTGATTTTAATAAATAGTATGTTATTATAAACAAACAAATATTATAGTATTGGCTACTTTATCATGCTAGTGTAAATGGTGTTCCAACTCTGAAAACATCAAATTGGACATGGAATTTACAAATATGTATATGTAATGTATATGTAAATGTCTACAATCTAAACTTAATCTAAGGTATTATGTTGCATCTCTTTCCACTTGCATAAACAAAATCACAATAAATTCCCACTGGTTCATGGTGACTGGTTATATATGATTTAATTTCCGCGTTTCTGGAGTTGCTATCCGTGAAGTGTGATTTGCAATCTTCTCTCTTTCAGGTATACCATGTCCGATAATTATAGTGTGGGCCATTGGAAAACTTTACAACGAAAATGAACAGTAAGTTGCTGATTTGCAGAAATAAGCTTAGTGCAATAAACCTGTGATGGGAGTGAATGACGGGGTAATTGTAGAGTATATGCAGAAGATGTCAATGAATGAGCCTGTGATTTAAATCCAGATATGTAGAATATTTATAAAACAGAAAGAGTAGTTCGAAAATATGTAAAAAAAAAAAAAAAAAATGGTAAGAAATAAATTTTCATTTTTTTTATGTTAGCTAATGTAAGAATAAGAACCTGGTAATTCGACACCCTTGCCTCATTTATATCAATGTACTAGTGGTATACCTGTGTGTTTTGCATGTATTACTAAATTGGCCCACTTTTTTATAAAGTATGCTTGGATATGCTTTATTTTGATCGTCCACTTTAGGCATTCTATAACGTCCTGGTTGTGTATGCAACCCCCGTTCCCTGAAGGAGGGAACGGAGGACGTAGTCGACGTCAACTGAATGGGGATCACGCCAGGGAGCCAATCGTCTTCGAGTACTATTGAACTAACCAATGGAATTGGTGTGCGTGATGACATCACACACTCCGCCCCCGCAGTGCGGGTATAAATACGGAAGTGGATGCACGCCGAGCGAAACTCGGAGTCAGCGGTGGTCCAGTGGTAGTGGCAACGAGCTGCAAGCTTCGTGCCCCGGAGGGCGAGGTCGGCTGCAGTGCGGAGCTCATCCGGTCCGGACTACCCTCGTGCATGTTCATGAGTGCCTGGGCCTGGTGGACCTGAAGCAACGCCATGGCAGGCAGAGAGGAAAACGGACAAGAACTTACAGGCCTTAGAGGCGAGACGAGGATCCCCCTTCCATGAGGTAGCGGTCGCCGGACACTGCTGCATCGCGACAGACCGCTCCACTGGAGGGATAGCCTCGTAACCCTTCGCCGCTCCCCCGTCAAGGGTAGTGAGGGTGAGGAGCTACATAAGCGGTTTCTGGCAGAGAAAGGTGCCATCCATGCCCTCGTCAACTCCTCATGCACTTCAGGAAAGAAAGGTACCGGAGCGGTGGGCTGAGAACCAGACCGGCCCGCTCCGATAAACCAATCATCCAACCAAGACGGCTCGGGACACGGTGGAGGGTTCCACTCGAGCCCTACCACCTCAATGGCCTTCATTAGTATAGCTGCCATCTCTGGATCCGGCTCGGGCTACCCCGGTCTCCCAGAGGGAGGCAGCGCAGCCGAGTCGTCATCTCCAGAGCCCAGCTCCCCGTCCGATGCTGCAATGGACATCCTGTCCTCTGGAGGGGCCCCGAACGAGATGGCTGGTCGGTCCACCACAGAGGGACCAGTAGTCTCGTCGGGGAGCTCCACCGGCTGCGGTGCAAAAGAGGAGTGAGGGATCCACAGGGCTTTGGCGGGTGGATTACCCCTCACCGTAATCCTCCGGTCACCCAGCCCAGACGGCACTTCAGGGCTTCGATGGAGCCCTACCGCACCCAGAAACGCACAGATGGAATGGGATCTTGAAAAAGACACAAAACGCACCCGTGTTGCTCTTTCAGAAATGGGATCTGTCACCAGTGCCGGAGCACACAGGGAATGACCGCGGCAACACTTAATTCAGCGAACTGAAACAGTGAAGCAATCACTTTTCCACCCTCAACCAGCCGTCAACACACACACAAATACCGAAATTTGTTACTGTTAGAACAGTAGTTGAGAGCTCAAAGCTCGCGATCCCCGCTGCACTCGCGCTGTAGAAACCACCAGCACTGGGAGAGTCTTCTAGAAGAACACCGACACACTCGCTCGTTGTAAACAACAGCACTCTTCAGAGACATCAAACGATCGGCTCCGAAGCGAAAGACAACTAGTGCGTGCTTTCACTTCCGCATTTATACCCGCGCCGCGAGTGTGTGATGCATTTCACGCACACCAATTCATTGGCTCGTTTTAACAGTACTCGAAGATGACAGGCTCTCTAAGCGTGATCCCAATCTACGTCGAACGTGAGCGACTGAAAGGGAACGGCGCGCTTGTTCATTTGCGCTGAAGCAATAGCGAAGATTAAAAAGCGTTTGGTTAACAGAAAAGACATTGTTATTTTCCAATATCCTACATGTCTCTGATGTTCTGTGTACTGTGTTGATCTGTCCATCTAAAACACATTTTTGGTAAAAAGGATGAGGATGAAATAGGAAGGAGGAGATGCTGGACGACAGGATTTACTTTGAATAAGAAATGAATGTACAAAATACAAATTTTATCAATTTTATAATATAAAAATGTGCTATAGTTCCAATCTGATTAATATATTCTTTTTTGTCTGGTTAATATCTTCATTTCTTCTGGTTAATTTCTTTGTCACAGCTTATATATATAAGATGTGACGTAGTTATTCTGGTTCATTTTTTCTTTTTTGGGGGGTAGTAGAAGTTCTGAATGGCCGGTGACTTAAAAAAGGAGATAAGTCAATATCAAACCCTGGATGTAACATAAAATGGAGTGACTGAAAACTGAAAACATTATTTTTGTGATTGCACTTAGTGACTCTGAAAGTACAAATGTCATCTTTAGCTAGTCTATTATATGAAAGGGATGTATTGTATGTGTTTATTATAAAACACCACTGTGGTTCTTCCACCCACTGATATTCACAGTAAAGTATATATTTCATTGTGCCAGTGAATACAGTCCCTGATGGAAATGAAAATAGCCATTGTGGGTTTAAAGTTACAAAGGCACATTATATACGTATATATAGCATAGTTCTATAGTTATCTGTGCTGTGAGTACACGCTGAAAAAGCTCTGTGTTTCAGATGCTGGTTCGGGAAGGAGCCTGGGAAGTACATCGACTACATTTATCAGGGGCCCGTGATTCTAGTTCTTCTAGTAAGTGTTGTTGCTTTTCCCAGATTTGTAGTAGTCAGAATTTAAAGCCAAGTGGACAAAACTCTTAAAGCATTACAAAGGGCAAAATGTAAACGTAATACCCATATGTGATTTCCAAGAGAGCTGTTCTATAATTATTAACATCAGCAAATAGTAGGCCAGGCCTTGCCAGAATATCAGCTTGTTATATAATAGCGATGTCTGCTAATTTCAGATAAAGAGCTTGAGCTTCGAGAGAATTATTGAACTGAAGTGAATCTTTTTTCCCTCCCTCTTCTTCATGTGAAAGCATTATAAGAACAGTATTTAATGTAAGCCAGTAGTGCATACGAGTGCAGGAAGATCAAGCGGTTCCGGAAATATGTACAAATATGTATATTCCTAAATCCCAGGAGGAAAGAGATTTAGTGTTCACCACACTCGATATGTCACAAGTGCCGTTAATTGTGATTTATGGGACCTTTGAGTTCATTCACACATGTCAAACACTTGCTGGAACACCATTACTGACCTACTTCCCTTCTTCCTCCCCAATACAGATCAACTTTGTGTTCCTTTTCAACATTGTGCGCATTTTAATGACGAAGCTGAGGGCCTCGACCACATCTGAAACTATACAGTACAGGTAAAGTACTTTAACCACGGCTCACTGTAACAGTGATATTCCAGAGCGAGCGTTTGTTTGATGAATGATGCTCGCCTGTTTCATGATCACGTTCAGTAAAGGAATAGTTCTGTCATAACGACGCCCTCATGTCACGATTCGACACATATCACGATACTGTTATTGCTATACTCCAGGACATATGATAAAAGGTTAACAAAAAATGTGCTGTTGATTAAAATGCTAAATTTGGTGTTACATTGTGTGTGTAAATGAACAGGCGTTTGGACTCGGTGCTGAAACCCAAAGCACAGGACAATAGAGACACCAGAATAACAATATTCATGATTCTGAAGCTGAAAGAGTTACTTTAGTCGAATATGCTTGTGCTGTCACTGCCTAGATATATTTATAATAATGTCGGCCACTTTTTACTGACATTTGGCATTATCAGGACACACAAATATTCCCCCAGTGCATTATTATACATTATATTCAACATAATATATAGCAGTTTAATGTCGTACTGACACTAAAACTCTGAAAACCTCTCGCACAGTAATTTTCATTTTGGGTGAACTATCCACAATACATATTGTTGTTGCATTTTTGTATTGCGATATATATTGTTTCACCCCTATTCTGTCATTATTTACTTACCCCTAGTTTCAAAATGTTCATTTATTTCTTTATTAGGAAACAGACTCATCTTTACACCGCTCTTTTACATAAAACCACAGTTTACAATGACATGTAAACACTTAGTCTCTTCCTCACACAGATTGTATGAGTTCAGAAGACTTTAGGCTACTTGTATGTGTTTTTTTTTTTTTTGATTGACACAATATCTGTTATGCTCAGATCCACAAAAGACAAAGAGGATTATAAAATAGCATACGCTTTATTACGAACTCAGAATAACAAGCCAACATGCGAGACTGTGTGCAACAGCCTTTAATACCCAGTGCTGATGAACTACAGACGAGCAGATGCGATGATGAGTGTTCGTGACGGGAAACAAAGAAACACACGTGATGAATGAAAACAAACTACACGTCAATGAACTGAACTAAATACATGACAATATCATATCCAGTCAGTCATTGCGAAATGCCATATACACTATAGAAAACAGTTGATAATTATAGCATACATTTCTGGACTTTTGGAACAAACATTGGGTGAATAAATGATGACAGACATTTACATTTTGGGTGAATTATTCCTTTGACAATTATTCAGAAACAGAAATTTTGTTAGTGTGAGTTTCATTTAAATAAGTAAATTCGCTTGTTTTTCTTCCCTTATGATTATGACATCATATTAGTAAAAAACGAGAATATATATATTCCAATGCTGAGATTAATAACATTTGAAACGTTTGAAAGAGTAAAAGACAATCTTTTACATCATCTTCACTGAGCCATGATAATAATCATCATTTATTCAAACGGTTCGCTGGAATTTCTAATAGAATTTGCAATTTCAGCCCAATGCATTATATTAATTTTATTTTATTGCATGAAAAACAATCACATTTTCAATTTGCTTGTTTTCATTTCTCATATTTCTGATATAAATATTCCTTATATTTCATTGTTGGTGCAATTGTATTGAAACAGTTGAAACTATAAGTGTACTGTAAAAGAAGAGTAATTAGTTCTGAGAGTAATGTGAGCTCTTCTGAGAGTGTGTGTAGAAACTGGCAGCGTGGTGTGTGATCTAGACACTTCTGTACACACTCAGCTCCTCTGAACACACGCAGGCGAGATCTTTAATCCGGTGCAGTCTTTGTCACGTCATTTGAGGTTACTCCGATTTGAAGTTTTATATATATAAATAAGCCTACCAGTTTTTTTTTTTTAACTCAAAATCCACTGGCAAGCATGCGTTCCTAAAGTGTGTGTGTGTGTATCTCGGGGCGACGCTTACTTCAGTCTTCTTTCATCTGAGGTTCGCTGAGGATGCTTTTGCAAACTTTGCTGTGGCGTTTCAATTGATTTCCTAAGTATTAATGCAGTGAGTCTTGAGGACAAGCTTATGGAAAATGAATCTTCTTTTCTTCATTTTTTTTTTTTTAATTTCATTGTTGCATGGATTTTTTTAAAATACATCAAGACCAATACTTTTAACTTTAATGTAAAGTTTCTGGAGAATTTTTATTTTTTTGTCCCAGCCAAACAATGATGGTTGAGTGGATGATCACACATATTGTGTGAGTTTATTTTGTTGTCATGTTTGATAAGAGGCCAAATGATATGTTATTTGCTAGCGATTCAAAGGTATTAAGGGTAAATGTAGGGTTGAGCATGACCAGCAGTTTTGATATTTGATGTGTACATGTACTAAACGTTGAGATGTCGATCATTTCGAAATGTTAAAATCATCTAGATTTCATATATCAGCTATTTTACAGTTTAAACGAGGTGTACAACCATGTTAAATTTGGGACATCTGAATGCAGTATAGTTATTGTAAACTGTGATTCATGTGAATTTGTTATCATCGACATAACTAACGATATAATCTCACGATTTCTCAGTGCTATATGAAGTATTGAGCTGAAGTTAGGGAAGTTTTCCTAATGTCAAATCAGTTCCTGTGCCTTAAATCTAATGTGAACTTGTGGCTCCCTCTCCTTCCCTGTCTCTCTGTGACCGCAGGAAAGCTGTGAAAGCAACTCTAGTGCTTCTGCCTTTACTCGGGATCACATACATGCTGTTCTTTGTGAACCCAGGGGAGGATGACATATCTCAAATTGTATTTATCTATTTCAACTCATTTCTTCAGTCCTTTCAGGTGAGTGTCACATCATCATGTCTGTGTAGAGTCATCAACCCTAACCCGTTCCTCGAACTGTACATACACCTTATAGTTGACTAATACTGAAGAAGTCACTTTCTTAAAACTCTTCATACGGTCTGCATTGCCGACATGAATCTAGGCCGGACGGTTAATTGCATCCCTAAAGGACTGGAGTAGTAAAGAGACGTTTATGAACTGTTTACTTCAGGAATCAGAGCATTAGCACTATAAATAGCAACACTGCTCCCTTGTTTTGTAGGAAAATAGAAATCAATGGTGACACAAATCTACATATAGTACAGCATATATCCATGAACATATTCTGCATGCAGTCGGTTCACTCGAGCATGCTTTCTCTCAAAAGGCAACAGGTACATTTGTTTCATAAAAACCTGGTGCTTCTTCAAAAGCAATGCTGATTGATGCTACGCTGGAAAGAGCGTCACTGCTCTCCTTTGGTTTTGGACAACTGTATGTCGTTCCCTGCCCTGACCATTTCCACTAGACAAACTCAGTCCATCAGCCCGCACATGCGAGAGGCTCTGTGAATGGCCAATGATGATGGCCTGAAATTCATTTGAAATGACAGTCACTGCCTCATTCCTCTGCTGAACACCCACAGCCATCTCTTTAACACGGCCCATGTCTACCTTTCTGATCCCTTTCTTTGTTCCCTCTCTCGTGAAGTCTATCCTTGCACATTCTCACACACAGTATCTATTTTCACCAAGTGACAGGAGATTGTAACTGGGATTTATTATAATTGGTCTTTTACGATTGAAAGCACTTCCAACAATTACTCTAGTTTAACACACAAAAGTAAATCAGACTAGTTGAAAATCTGTAGATTTGCCAAAAAAAATTTAATTGATTAAGTAATAAATGTAATGAAAAAAAGAGGTGCCAGGGTGTTTCAACCCGTTTGAGTCAAATATGGACAAACCCAGCCATTGGATTACATTAATTTTTTAACCCATCAATTAGGTTTGTCCATATTTGACCCAAACATGGGTTGAAAAAACTCAGCTTTTTTTAGACCGATGCAATTTAAATGTTTGCTAGTAACCCACACTGCTGAGATGAACCTGTTAATATGTGCTGCACGTTTCCTCTCAATAACTAAACAAACACACAATGACAGCGGAGAGAAAACAGTGACCACAGCGATGTGGATGTTTGCACCAGCTCTGAGATTCAGCACGGCAGTAAAGTCACGGCACATTTATCTATATACCACTTTATACAATCGACTGTTTAAAAGCAAGCAGCGTTACAGTGTTAAACATGAAAAAAGTGTCAGTGCCTCTTTCAATTAAAATTACAACTTCAGTTTCTACTATAAAGCAGCTCTACAGTTACTCGCGTACGTCTGCCCTTGACGGACTGAACAGAAGAAATGAACCAGAGGAGATTTACGCCTCAAAGACGAGCCTCAGCGCCATTAACCGCACAGACCAGTGGTGGTTCTGAGGAGTGGACCAGCCAGAGTGAACTTTCCGGAAGGGTTGCTTTGCCGAGCTGTTTTGAAGTCCAGAAATGAACAAAAAAGGATCTTCATTCTGGCCTGATGTTATCCAAAATTACATTCTTTGATATCGCCTTTACTGTGAATGAAAAATGCATGATATAGATGAAACATTTATTTTGTGTAGCGAACAATTCTGATACTCACGCTGAGAGTCTGTTACTATGGGTCTTGGTCAGAGGTCTTGGAAACCCACTGTCCTGCAAAGTTCACTTCCACCTGTTTTAGCGCACATGCCTGTGATTCCTGATCAGCTGGTTCAGGTGTGTTGGAGCTGAACTCTGCAGAAAAGTGTGTCCCAGGAGCAGGGTTGAAGACTTCAGCTCTAGGAGCAATCTGACACCAACATTTTAGATACTTGTGAAAATTCCCAATCCTCTATTTCAATTTCGATACCACAGCTAAAACTACTAGACTATCTAATATAAATTGTATAGCCTACATTTTTAAAGACAAGTAAACAGTCAGTAATAAAATAAGAACAAACAATCAGATTAAAAGCAAAAGCACAAATACAATTAAATACAATACATACAAATAAAATAAACAGTGCTCTTCAGGCAGGTCTAATAGTTTTCAGGTACCGAAATCAAATGTAATAAAGTAGGCTGATCAAATAAATAACACTGCACAGTCTTCCTATCCTTTTTAAAGTTCAAGAGCAGTGAGTGATTTTTTTCTTTGTCCGTTGTTGTCTGATTAACATTAAAAACACTGACAGTAGCAGGATTATTAGGATGCTGTCACTTTAAGATCGAATGCACGCATGGATCATGCGTTTTGTGTTCGCGTTAAGACATAACCGACTATGTTTACTAGGATACTCAACGAGACGGCCGTTCTTTGACATAATCTTTAATGAATTTGTCCATTCAAGCGCAGGAAGACATGAAAGAGAGCTCAACTTCGAGCGCTGTCTGAGAGACGCGGCTTTCAGGTTCACGTTCGTTCACGTTCATGTTCTCACAACATTGCATTGTTAGAATTAAACAAATTGCTACTGGCGACTGACACAGTTTCATACACTCGCCAACGCCGGTTTTTACTTGGATATGGCGCTTGACAAGTGTTAATTTTAGGCCTTGCACATGGGCCTGAACAGAACACCATCTCCTATACCAGGTAGGTGTCACGGGTGCGTTGCGGAGAATGGAGCGAGGACTCAAATGCAGAGGTGAAAGCCTTTAATTAAGTAAAACATAAATCAAACAAAGGAAATCCAGGTTGATAAACTAATTGCTAAATCCAGAAACACGACATGGCAGGAACAGAACAACACACAACTCAAAATCCCAAGTAACATAAACAACGAACGAGCACAGGACAACAAACACAGGAAGACTAAATAGGGAGGCAAACAAAGGAGGGTAACGAGGCTGACAGGTGGAACAAATAAACCAATAACCAGATAACAAGGGGGAGGGATCAAACAATGACAAGAGCACATGGCTCAAAATAACAAAACACCCATGTGCATCACAAGACAGGACAGACATGTGATAGTAGGAGCTTATGTAACGGTGGTCAGGCAGTGAAGGGACTGAAACCAGAACTGGCTTTTCTCACATTTATTCCTTTGGAGAATCTTTGGAAAAATCAGAACAAAACATGCCTTCAGGCACTGGTGTACATATAACAGCATCCGATGTAAAGCATCCCGCTTCTGATCTCTTTGGTAAATTGTTACAAAAGAAACATTCATACAGAAGGATACACCTTTAGCATACAAGAAGGGTATAAAATAAACATAAGAAAAATAAACACAGGAAAATATTTCCTCATTCTGAAACTAATTCACATTTAACATATGAAGCAACATACCTTTGGAAAAATCAGAACAAAACATGCCTTCAGGCACTGGTGTACATATAACAGCATCTGCACATACAAAAATAAAAGAAATACACACTGAATACACGGCTAGTTACTAGCGGAGTTTACAGCTAGCCACGCTAGACTCAGAGTGTATGAAATCGTGGTCATAATGAAAGCATTAATAAACTTTCTCTAAGTTGCTGAAATTGCACCTGAATCTTAACAATACATGTAAAATAATATAACACAGATCATATGTCGAAGTTTTCAACTTTAAACGGCATTTTACAGTTATATCATTAAAACAAAGTGAGAGTGCTTTATACAGTGAACCTACCCGATGTAAAGCATCCCGCTTCTGATCGGGTATGGCAACAACACAAGGACAAAACGCAGCAGAGCTGCAGTACACCGTTTCTCCAAAGGAGGGCTCCAAAACACCAAACTCAATACAGCTGCTTAATTATGGTGAAAATCACATACAAACACTAACTGACATTTCTAACTCTGTTACACCCACCTCCCCTGAATTTCACCAAATTTGAGCGGCAATACTTTAAGTACATTACTTTCTAACACTAGACAGAGGGTCACCAATTACAGGACAGCCAACCCAAAGGTATCCAATAAGGATGAAGTGGAAGAAGAGGTGCGCAAACTCTCCAACCAACCACTGGCAGTAGGGTGCCTTATACACCCCACAAGACCCACGTATACTGTGTACTAAAGCCACTAAGAAAAGTAAGGAAAACAAAAACAGATAAACATTTCTTTTAATAAAGCTCACCAGAAAAGCTTGGACCATATAACCAATGTTACCAAACGTGTGTATGACCTCAACTCTAAGTCTAGTCATGAAAAACCTAAAACACTGACTTCCAGATAGCCGTCATAGATGGATGTGCGTGAATAATATCTTGCCTTGACATAGTTTGAATTAGTCTGTCAACTGGCTTAAGAATGCGACCAAATCTAGACCTCACCTGTGTGAACGTACTAGGATTTTCAGACTGTGAAACAGAAGCTACTGTGTCAACACTATCCATGTCATTAGCTTTGTCTATCCGTGTTACAACAGTCTGTCCATCCATGTTGCTGGCAACAACTGTACTACCGTCAGTGCTTGTCACAGGTGAAGAGTCAGAGGCCATGAACTGGTCTCCTATCTTGTCCTCAGATATTACCGGGTCACTTTGAGAGACAAGAGGAACTGATTCTATTCCTCCATTATCAGCTGACTCAGCTTGCGGGGTATCAGGGAATGGTGATAGTGCAATCCACTCTACAGTTCGTCCCTCAGAATCCACTTGCCCTGGAACAGTTATGGAATCAGATTCAACTCTCTCTCCCTCTGTTCGTCCCATCCGTTCTCCCTGAATTCCCGGGCTAGAAATTAGATCATCACAGTCCTCACTCATGTCGTCACGCAAATGACTTTGTCTCACTATTGACACTGAGTCCTCACTTGGGTTTGACTGCTGAACAGAAGACAAAGATGAGACTGGGTCATAGATCACACTTGCGTTTTCCACAGGCAGGAAATTCACCAACATCAACAGATTACGGTGTACGACTTTCTCCCGTCCAGAGACTGTGTCACATATCCTGTAAGTGTGTGTTTCGGTGTTCCTGTCTACTACAGTGTACACAGTGG